CAGTACAGCTCTCGATACTGGAATATACTGTACTGGCAGCACGGCTCTCGGTACTGTACTGTACTGGACGTTTTAGTACGCAGTTAAATACTGGAATAAAAATACTGTACTGTACTAAACCTGCCCGTGTCCATCGTGTATAAGCATTACCTTCACAAAATGAACGTGCTGGCGTCGAGTCTGCTCTGCGCCAGTCTATGCATACCACACGCAGAATATTCGAATTTGCCCTGCAGGGGTTGTAGGATGCACGGTAAGGTATGAACGGATATGGAAACGAGCTTCTCCAATTCACTCTCTCTGCGAAGAGCAAAGAGAGTGAGCCAAGGCTCATGACCCAACAGCAAGATTGTATTCCCCCACTCACTGCTGTAAACACTTCAACACGCCCTTTCGATTTTGGTACATGCACGTTATCTCAAACGGGTACTGCAGCCTGTCTGGGCTTCTATGTATGCATAGACTACTTGTAGTTGTTACAGAAAGTTCTAAAAACCGCGGAGCAGAAAAGATGCGATGACCTCCTTGAAGCTGCAACACACACTGCTTAGATGCACGTTCCGACTTGCAACCCTGCCCTCTTCTACACTAACACGGTGGTCGCAAAAACAAGCTTCCGAACAAGGGAACGGGACGCGCCTACCCTCCTCCCTCTTTCGAACTGCCACCAGCATAGCAGTACTAGCAGTCACCAGATTTTGGCACTTCTTGCAGCAGTATGTCAATCTCTCTCACCAGATTCAGCTGTCGAGCAAACGACTCGCAGGCGTGCGAGTCCACGAAACGTTGTCTTGTTGCGGAGAGTTGTCCTGAGGACCTCCTCGAGCCCTTGGCCGAGCGAAACAGCCAGGAAGAGACCGCCAGCTGGAGGACAGAGTCACCGAGCCACTCGAGCTCGTCGAAGTCCCCCGAGGCTGTGTGGGTCTCGTTGCAGAACGAGCGATGTGTCAAGGCCGTGAGCAGGAGTCGCCTGTCTCCGAAGCGATAGCCCAGCGCGTGTTCAACGACAGGGAGCGAGTGCTGTAAAAACACGGACTCATCTCTCGCAGCCATTACGCCAACGCAGCGCAAGCGGTGGACGACTCTTCTAGTCTCCCCTAGATATGTCTTTGTGTGTCTTCCTCACTCTCGAAGCAGCTGTGTAGCTTGTTGTGGTGTGCTGCTGCAGGTGTGTGAGTGAAGTGTGGGCGTGCTTGTCGCCTTGACGCTTGCATCACATGCTGCTCGTTGCAGTGTACGTACCGACCAGTATTAATCACGGAGCCCCTGAGGGTAGAAGACAGAAACCAGACACCAGCACAGGAAACTCATTGCTCTGCAGTGCTGGCTGTGTTCTTCGGGTGTCCTTTGACGTGCATTCGCACCAAGACCATGCGGATACCTGTCTATCTTCTAGCTGGCCTCGGACTCTCAACGTGGGCAACAGGGTGAGTTCGAGTTAAGAATCCAAACGTAACCCGTATGACAACAACGATCAAATTGCAGAGAGACGCCGCATTTTAACATCATCCACCAGATAGGGATAAATATCATGTAAAGGAGAGTCGTTTCTAATTGGGCGTCCTGGTCATATGGTCTCCTAGAAGCCGCACTGCTGACCTTGGGGGGGGGGGGTACTGCACCTACGCGTGTAATTCGTGGTTTACCCTTCCGTTAACAGTTTGCCTAGGCTGGGTGTCGATGGGCCTATTCACGACCCTGGTGCTGCGGACTCGGCGGAGGGTCTCGTCACAGCCGCGGCAAGCGGTCTGGGTGCATTGCTGGATCCGCTGGTGGACAATGGTGTCCCTCGTTGTGATGTCGAAGAGCTGTTCGTGGAGCAGCGGCTCGACCACTTCGACAGGCAGAATTCGAGAACGTTCCTGCAGCGGTACTTCATCAACAAAAAGTGAGCGAATTGTGAACAACACCGCGTTGTCGTGGGTCAGCTTCTTACGGTCTCTATGCCGGGTACTTCGTGTATTGTACTGCATGTTGACTCGGATTGGACGCTTCGCATGTGCGTGATTTGTGTGCCGTGGCTGCCACGACGCTAAACTGGAGAGCTAGTTTCTCTGTGCGGTCTTAAATGTTGGTCTATCATGTCATTTTTGAGTGAATATGTGCCGCAGTAGTAAATTGCTTAAGATACCACACCCCCTGGGGCGACTTTCGAAAGCCGACTAATCTGCCACACCATTGTTTTCGGGAATGGACATTCCACGCCCATCTCACCACATGCTGTACCCTCTTTCCTCGAAGTATGCTACGTGTTTTTACCACCCATGCTGCAAGGATATAAACGGCAGGTGTCCGCCGTTCTCTGTGGTCTCCCCCCCATCGCGCCGAGGTCTGGTTGTGCCACTTACTACTTCAGTAAATTGGGATTGTTGCCGACCCGTGAAGCTCAGGCAGCCCTACATATCTCAAAATCTCCACACAGCTCCAATCCAACGCATCCTCAACCACAGCCTATTCGCTGTTATGCCGGACACCATGGTAACTAACCCACCTGTCACCTCATCGACTAACATATACATCTGGAAGCACGGAAGTGCGGGGTTTCAGTATCACAAACAAGGCTTTTATGACCACGCCCCCCCCTACCGCCCCGAACATGCGAAGGTATTGGGCAGGAGCAAGCTCGGGGGCCCCGGTGTTTCTGTGCGTTGGGGGGGAGGGTCCTCCTCTCGAAGCGAACGTACTGTCGGAGAGCGTGCACTGCAATGACATGCTGGAGCTTGCTCCGGAGCACAATGTAAGCTGCGAACCGTGTTTTGGAGCATGCTTCGGCATTAGACTCTTTCTGTTGGTGGCGGTGATGGTGGTGTTCGCGTTGGTGACGAAGTGTTGTTGTTGTTGTTGTTGTTGTTGTTGTTGTTGTTGTTGTTGTTGTTGTTGTTGTTGTTGTTGTTGCTGTTGTTGTTCTTGCTGGTTGTGATGGTATCCTTGTTACTTCGTTTGATACTGTTGTTTCCAATGCTACGCTCTTCTTGTCGCCGTGGGTGCCATTGTGCATGCGGCTAAACTGTCGTTGGTGTTGCTGTTGATTTTGATGCTGTCTCCTTTTGCTCTTGTTGTCATCGAAACCGATGTTGTTATTGCTGCTGCTGTTGTCGTTGTTGTTGACCTTGATGCCGTCCTACGCTCTCTTCGGGTTCCCCAATCCGGCCCCTTGATGGTCGCACGGTGCGTTTTCCTGATCCTTGTGCTAGGCTCTCGTCTTGGCTGTGGAACACCGTTATTACGGCAAGAGCAACCCTGGAGATGTGAGTCCAATAATTACTTCCAGGCGTGAACGCTACCAACGTTGTTCGGCTGCCTACGGTATAGATCAGAAGGATCGAGCATTAGCATGATCGAGGGGTGAGGAGGGCGTATGTTTTCCACGGCATCATTCCAACTCCATGGCACGGCAGTAGCCGGAAACGGTGATATCACAAGCGGCGGCACTTGTCGCGAGCATTTGACAGCACGATACCGGTCAATCTGAATTTGTTGCTTCGTCTCCCGTGGGAACACGGATCCAGGGTGAAGCTGACTGCGTGCGTACATGGCCCCCCCTGCATGCTTTTCAGGTTTAAGTTGGGGCGATACTGCTGCTTCTCTTATCCTTGCGCCCGAAATGTCCCATCAAGCTACGCTGCCTTCTCTGTCTTCTCGCTTTCTCACCTTGTTCTCACCTTGTTCTCACCTTGTTCTCACCTTGTTCTCACCTTGTTCGGGATGTTGTCGTGTTCCGTCTTCTCTGTGCGCACGTGTGCACGGAGTCTCACTTGTTGTCGCTCTCGATGATTTTTTGGGATCATCCTTATCTGAGGCGGATCGTTGTTGTTTCTCGTTGTTGAAGGTACGCTTGAGTTGTGGACGCGTTGTTGATGGGTCGGTTGCACCACCCCAACGGAGGCAAACCCGCTGCTTTGTAGAAAACACCGAATATCATATGCTTCCATCCCCTGTGCGCTCGCCCTTGTTCAGGATTGGGCAACAGACTCGCTGCGCTGGCTTAGCAGCCAACAGGCGCTGGCCGATCTGTCTAGCTTCCACGGCTTCCTTTCCGACAAGGAGGGATTGACCGGAGCCGAGAAATGGGTTACGTGGGGAGGTAGGTTTGCGGGCACTCACGAGACGCCGCTGCCGACCGTACGCGGGTATTTTTCGTGCTTGAGTTATACGACCCTCGGCGCAATACTCACTCGCATGTTTTTCTGTTCTGCTTTTTACGTCTTCTCTGTCGTAATTTTGTCCCCAGGGTCCTACCCCGGGATGCTTGCCGGCTGGGCTAGGCTTAAGTATCCTCACTTGTTCCACGCTGCCGTGTCCTCCTCCTCGCCCATGAAGGCACAGCTCGACTTCCCGCAGGTGATCTTGCCTTGTTGTGCTCTCTCTCCCTTACTCTCTCTGTGTATCTATTTATCGTTGTTGTTCTTGGTGACGATCATCTTCATGGCCTATTTTAGTTGTAAATTGGTGATCTTGGTCGTTGTGCTCTCTCTCTCTCTCTCTCTCTCTCTCTCTCTCTCTCTGTCGTTCTCTCTCTCGTTGTTGTGGTGAGTGACGAAAAGGATGTTCATGGCCTAGTCATTGTCAATTGTGTGCGCGTGTTTGTTGTGATTGTACTTGTACATGTTTTCGTTGTTTCGTTTTTGTTACGCTTGTTGTTGTTGTTGTTGTTGTTGTTGTTGTTGTTGGTGGTGGTGGTGGTGGTGGCCGTTGTCGCTACATCAACTCGTTTCTCGATTTGTGGTGCCCATCGCTCTCCGCGGCCTTCGTGGCCCTGTGATGTTGCGGTTTAACCGCGCCTGTGTGGATTGTACCACCTCCACCGCGGTTCGAGTCTTCGAGCCGGACTCTACCGTTGTCGTCTTGGTGCTGTCGTTTGATTGTTGTTCCAGTACGCCGAGGTGATGCGAGACTCGCTAGCAAGCGGAGTGGACGGCGTTGGGGGCTCCGAGGAGTGCGCGTCAGCTGTGGAAGCAGGTATGTATTCCTTCTTGTCGTAAAGCTGAAGGTCAATGTGGGGTGAGTGTAGGCGACGCCTAGTGTGATGACCCACGTCCGTGGGTGCTCCCGCTGCACACCGTACAGTACGTACCCTGTAGGCACAGTGCATTCTGCGGCGCCCCTTGCTCATGGCATGCTAGGGAAACAGCCTGTGTAGTGCTCGCCCAATCTTGGTCACCTCGTACGTTCGGTAGGAACTCTGAAACAATCCATGGCGCTTCCTTATGCCTACTGGCATGGCTTTAGCTTGCCGGCTTCATTCCCCCCCGTTTTTGAGCCTGCGGAGGAGCATCATCCTCGTGCTTTCAGAGAGACGAGTCTTGCCCTTGTTGCTACTTTCCTTCGTTGACCTGTCTGCGTCCTTTGGTCGGTACAAATGAGAAAAGCGCGGCTCTTCTTGCTCCTGCCTATCTGCCGCGTGCCGGTGCTCTGGTTCGCAAATATTTTCTTTCGTTTCTTTTCTTTGCCCTGCAGGCCATGCGTCGATCGGAGAACTATTGCTGACGGAGGAGGGGCAACTAGAGCTAGTGGAGTGAGTCGGATTTCTGCACGCGCTGCTTACCTGTGATTGCTCGGATGAGGTTGAAAACACATTTTCTTTTTCCTTCGTGCATGTTTTTTTTTGGGTGGGTTATGTAGTACATTCACAAGGTTCAAACACTTTCTTATTCTTCTGTGGATTTTTCTTGTTTGGAGGGGACGGTTGATGGGGTATCCTCCTGTCCAACACAAACCCAGGTGGCCCGTTGCTCGCGTTGTCACACATGCCGCATACATGATCACATGGTCACATGATGATGCCGCCCGATGCATGCTGGTATTTTAGAGCTTGCGCACGCGGGATATATGGGGCGAAAATCCTACAGTACGCAGACGAAACTGTCAAGGCGTCGCTGTGTGCGGGTGCCTACAAAAAAATGGAGAGTCTACACACTCAGAAAACACAAATATTTGTGGAAAACCCGGACTGTTTCGCTTGTAGCATAGCATTGGTCGTAAGTTGTGATGTTCTTAGAGACAGCCGGTATTGTAGGAGAGTGCCGCACATGCGGCACTTGTTTCAACGTGACATGACACGAAACCGACACCGCAACCAACGTTCCGCAGAACGTTCCAGCTTTGCGACGCGTCATCTCTCCAAGACGAGGACGCCAGGGTGCTGTTTGCGGGGGATGGTGTGGTGACGCTGCCCATCCAGGGGAACGACCCTGCCTGCAACGGCATGGTTTGCAACATCAGGGCGGTTTGCGAGATCATGGCCGATACCACCAGAGGCTCGGAGGCAGGTCGACTGCATTTGACATGCTGAGAGACCAGTTATGCTATTGTTGTTGTTGTTGTTGTTGTTGTTGCTGTTGATGATGATGAAACACAAATACGGACCTCGTCCTTGTGTACCTCCGTCGACAGCGGTAGTGGCCTACAACAACCGGTATGAAGAATACCTCTTTTGTCCTTCACAGCCTGATCCAACCCGAAAAAGGTGGCACAAGTGAACAAATGGTCCATAAGAAGAGTCTTCCAATCCTGTCCATTCGCCCCCTTAGTTGCAAACATATAATGCTGCTTTTGCTCGAACGCATTGACGCACACCCAGGTGGAAAGGCTGGCCGCGATTCGAAAAATCCAGAGATCCTCCGACGCAGAAGCGATAGAGAAGCCACGATCATCACCCTCACCGTGCGAAGTATTCCCGCCCAAGGACATGAACGCCGCTGCTGGCGGCTACGGTAGCCGAAGCGAAGGGCGCGGTGCAGGACTGCGGCGGGAATATCCCGGGCAAGAGATGAAACTGTTGGGGAGGTGGGCGATGGATCCTTCGGACCCCGACAGGGCGTGGCTGTACCAGACGTGCACCGAGTTTGGCTTCTATCAGGCGAGTCTATTCGTCAGGTCCCTAAGACATGTCAAGGCGGCTTAGCGGCCGAAAGTAGCTGCTGCTGTTGTGTCTCTTGATTTTGTTCACGAACATGTGAGATGGACGTTGTAGGCGTCTTTGCTACCAGCGAAACATGTAAGAAATACACGATTTTTGGCAAGTAGATTTAATGGTGTAAAATGGTGGCCGGCACGCTGTGTAGCACAAAATAGACGGCGCGTGTTCGTGGCTTCTCATTTACAGTCCGAAGGGGGGCAAAGACTGGAGGGCTTGGCGGGAAGAGCTACCCATACCTACGCCACCAGCAGCATCGCGATCACGCTCTGCTTCATGGCCATGTGGTCGAGCAGCACGACCTCTTGCGTGGCTCGCAATTTTTTGTTCATGTTCTTCGGCGGCTCCTGTCGGCTGCCTGCTTTTCGGCGTTGTCACCCTTTGCCCTTTTGCCGTTTCCACCGCTCGCTCTTTCGTGCAGACCTGTGAGGTCGGAACCCGGTGCCCGTTCACCCAGGGCCTTCACACCCTGGATATCGATTTGGCCATGTGCGAGGAGGCCTTCGGGATAAGGGCGGAAGAGGTTCGAGAACAGGTTCGGCTCACGAACCTCTTCTACGGAGGGGACCGACCAAGGTACACTAGATACGTGACGGTGTAGAAGGCATATTGCCCCCCAACCTGAGAACAGCCTCTCCCCTTGAAAACGATGGAGCCAATCATCTGTAACGGAGATGGTAGTAGGACGGAGTTATTTTTTTCCCATGAAACCAATATCAAACACAGAAAACAGAGATTTTTTTTTTTTCTGAAACACGCGAGACGTCTGTCTAGCCCTTATTCGTTGTAAATCGAGGTGCTGAGTTACAAATTGTCAAATGATCTATTCCCTCGTCAAAGTTCGCCCCCGCTTGTCGTTTATCCGGCATGCTTGTAGCACCCTTGCTGTAGAACCTTGTAATGTATGGATAGGCACACCAGTGCGTTCGCTCGTTTTTTTCACGGCTTGGTTTTGCTCTTGCGAGACCCCGAAAACCCGTTACAAGGCGGCTGCTGCAGTCCATGCGGCTGGCTGAACGGTAGTTGCGTCTCTCCTCTTCGTTCATGACCGCTTCTGCCCCTTAAGCACCCGTTGTTCTCGTTATGTGCCGTCGTTGTGCCGCACCAACCACTTGGCTATTCACAGAGGATCCCGGGTGATCTTTCCCAACGGTGCTATCGACCCGTGGCATGCCCTCGGTGTACTCGAGACGCCCAGTCCAGGCTTGCCGGCGATATACGTAGAAGGTGAGCACGTTTTCAAGCTCTAGTACTATGTACAGCGGGAAGGACTTGCGCGAAACCATCCAATTTTTTCGAAAACAAGAAAGCTGTGCGTATACAAGCTTCACTAAATAGTACCGTTGATACGCAGCGCTATCCATTAGAGCTTGGAGAGAGGTGTTTCGTCTGGAGACTGACATGGTCACTGGTCAACGTGCAATGTCCCATGGCGACCAATAAATGCCTCCCCCCGCCCCCCCGCTCCATCCTTTCGACGACGCGTGGTCATGGCCTAACCGCTAAGGCATGCAAGACATGAGCATGCCCCCCACCCCACCCTACAATTCGCCGTGATATTTTGTGTTTTTTTCAACCATAGGTGCGTCGCATCACTTCTGGACCCACCCCTCCAAGCCCACCGATTCCCCCGACATCGTCAAAGCTCGCCACGTCATCTGGAACCAGATCACGGCATGGTTGGGTGAAGACGACTGATATGATCATGATGGGGTGGCATGATGATATTTTAAGGAGTATCCCGGCGACGACGGCATGATCGACGACCTGACGAGCTGCAGCAAAGCAAGCCGAACGTAGTCAATAGAGACCCAAAGCAAAGCTAAACAGAACCGCTGCTGTCTTGCAGTCCTTTCTCGCTTTTTTGGCGTACTGCAGCGCGGGGGCACAACAGTCGGGAAGAGAACTTGTCGCAGGAGGGGGGAGGGGAGGGGCGTACTCTTTTTTTTTGCATGCCTTAGCGGTTAGACCATTGACCACGCGTCCTCGAGAGGACGGAGCATTGTTACCACAGGACCGATCAGGCCAATCGTTCCTTGTACGGAGCTTTGGCAGCTCCGGGAAAAGCTGCGAGGGGAGGGCACAGGTGTGAGGGGAGAAGGGGAGTGCCGCAGTTACACAGCGAACCGCATGCTATGGCATTTTGTCTGTATCCTCACGAGTGGCATGGGTGACCGTTCCCCTCTGGATTGTATATATCAAGGTGTTGTTTTGGAGTTAAGCGCGGGTTACCGTCTCGCCGACAGATGTTTTCTCCAGCGGATGGTTGCGGATTACGCGATGTACGCGCCGCGCCGTGCTCCCGAACCGGATCTTCGAGATTATCGGCGGCGCGGTTAAAGAACGGGCGGCCAGATTCCTCACACTGGTTTGGATCAGCCTTAGCGGCCTTCCACTTTGTAGATAAAGGGGCATGTTTGTCTGGTATGGGTCTTGAATCTCGCGGCTATGTGGGAGGGATGTCGTACTTTTCTACGTAAGCAGACGTACATTGGGTTGGTGAAACTACCACAACAGTCTTGAGCCGTTCAATAGGACAGGGGTGTGCCGGGCCGATTCATCCACCCGATAGCGGGCACCGGTACGACTCCAAGAATCATACAACCTGAACGTTCTTTGAAGTACGTGTTTTCGGGTTCGCGAACGAACGCCTTTTGCGACGCACGGCCAAGAAAGCTTCTTATTCGACTTCTTGTAGCTCCCACCCGGCTCGAGAGAAGCCCAGGTCATGTCCAATGTAGACTAATAGTCTCATGTAACGTGTTGTGTTTGTGTTTGGAACGTAGAAGGTGTCCGAGTGGGAGCAGACGCTTGTGTAGCTATCACGTCGTGTGGGGGGGTGTTATGTTGTGTTTTGGGCGATGTTGTTGTTCATGCCCAGGAAGACAGTATCGTCGTGCTCATCAGATACCTAGGATACGTTTTTTTTATGGTAAACACGCCATCACGCCATTGGCGCCACTGATTTTTAAGTGGAAATTACCCCCTGATTCGTGACGTCAGCCACGGTCTCGACTACGCGGCTTTTTGATCTCGAAAAGGATGGGGCTCTTCGTGTCCGGTGCTTCGATAGCTTCGAAAGAGAGGAACCACGCGCCGCCGTAGCTTTTGCAGTACTGAAGTGTGGGCTAACTGTTGGCACCCTCAACACAAGGTGTCACGACCGCTTGGTTGTTGGAGGGCATGCATGTTGTTGGCGAAGGTAGTCACACAGCTTGGATACGCGCAATCCTGTAGTAAGCGGTGTTTGTCTTGAGTCTGTGCGTGATGCGGTCGCGAGAAAAATGGATCCACACGTTCTGCTGTACCCTGTTAATACCAAGAGGAGCGAGGCAAAGCAACTGAGGTTGACCCGCTTCAAAAACACCGAAAATATACGTGCTGCTATCTCTTCCACGCTCGACAGCGTCCTCCGCTAGAGGTACTTCCACTTCTGCGCCAGTATCTCCTTTAGGCTTCCCTCGAACTTTTCGATCCCCTCCCGTTCCTCGGTAGCATTCTTTCTTCTCTCTTTTTCCTGCGGACACCACACCACACCACAAGAAAGGCAATCAGACGCCACCACGAGGAGAGTAATCAGATGACACTACAAGGCATTCAGACGTCACACCCCGAGGAAGCCAAACAGACGCCGCCACAAGCAGCAGCAACAACCTCGCAGCAGAAGAGCGGCCGCCATTAGACCGACAACATTGGAGTTGGAATCGGGTACTCTCGCCCCGACGTTGTTTCGCGCTGCTCCACTTGCTGGATCTCATGATCATAGAGTGTTGTAATCATTGTTCGCCAGTCATGGGTTATCCGCCTTCGACAAACATGCTGGGAAACCAACTTACAGTATGTTTGTGAGAGTATGGTTGTTCAGAGGAGGTCAACACTGATCGGGGTTATTCGTAAGTAGCGAGGTTCTAATGGGCGGAATGATTTTCGGACTGACTGCTTTGGGCCAAGACTTACATATATTCGACTTTCATCAGTTAAGATCGGCGCTTGATTACCAAATAGGGTGCAAAGAACGCGTTCAATCCTTCTTGCAACTCCACGCCTGACGACGAGCCGCCTAAGATTGGGCAACCGATAACGATCGCAAGCACTCCAAACACCAGTCCGTGTTGTCTCGCACTGGTTTACATAGTCTACATCCGCTTCGTCGCATCGATGTGCCTAATCTCGCGAAGCTATGAAACAGCACTGCACTCCTAGATCGACTGGAGTAGATACTACGTCGTGTAACCTGTGGAAACGGCAAAGAGACGCCACGCAAGGCAGGAATGCTATGTAAGAGGACTAAAACTCACAAGCTGTTCAGCCACAATCCGCCCCGCCTCTCTCGACCGGCGAGCCTCCCTCCTGCCCAAGAGGGCGCACGTGTACTCCGAGCGGCGCTGCGTGGTGTCAAACTGCTGAGGCTTGAGACCGGCGGTGGACCGGGAGAGAACCGCCCGAGACATCGGGCGGCCCAGCTGGTCGCGCGAGGACGAGAAGGGGCGCAGGGCGGGGCCCTGGAAGGAAGAGGAGGTGGTGCCGGGCCGTGTGGCTCGCAGCCCTTGGCGGCTCCACATCGGTCGTACCTGACGACGGCGTATTGCAGTGGGGGGGGGGGGGGGGGGGGGGNTCCCTACAAAGCCGGGACGGAGCACGCCGGGTTCTCACCGGACCAGGCTCTCACATCACCAAGCGCGAAGCACCATGAGATATTGGGCGGGTCGCATGAAGGGTGCGCCTCATCCTGCTAAGGGTGTTCGGTATCTTGTGCTTACTTCCTTGCGTACGGATGACAGCTGCGTATGACTTACTTTTCAGGTGCTTTAACTTCCAGAGACAGTTATAAGCACTGTGTAACTGCCTCGAGGGTGCTTGANGCGCAAGGAGCGCCTCTCTGTGGACGCAATTCGACCGCCCAGCCGGCGGCCTCGAGTTTGGGGGAACAGACATGCGGGCATGGGGCGGCAACACGTTCTCGGTTGTACCTAAGCGCCGATCGATTGTTGATCTAACACCCTGCTCGATTCGGGAAGAAGGCTGTACTGATAGCGTTGGGAGGAGGTCTTTCGGCGGGTAGATAATAGCTGCGGGTGTGTAGAGTACCACGTGTGTCTACCGGTGGCGGTGGGTGTACGAAGGGTAGTGCTACACGTTTTGGTGTCGTTCTAACACGAATTTTTGAAAGGGGCTAGTCCACAGCAACCACCGAGAGGAAGAAGCGTAGGGGGGGAGAACAGAGAGCAAATCGCGTTTTGAGGGGGAGGCCCCATCGGAAACATTCCCGCAACGCTCTTTAGAATCGCAAGCCGGCGTTCTTGTGTACGTCAAAAGAAAATGATAAAATCATGCCGCAGGCGAAGACAACAGACACGTGTTTCCACCCTCCACAATTTTCAAGTCGATTTTTACCTCAATGCCTAAACCGTCGCGGTCGACCTCCTGCCCTTGGTTGTTGTTGCCCCGCGATCCCTCGTCTGTGAAATCCTCGGTCTCCCAAGACTGACCGAACCTCGATCTTTGCGAGGGTAGCTGAACAGCGAAGAGAGGTAGGGTAAGGAAGGCAAGAGTATAGTAGCAGCTGCACACGAGTAACGTGTTGAGGGGCTATCAGGAGGTGCTTGACATACTACTGTAGAAACGGGGGTGGAGACGGAAGCTGGTGTTTGTAATTCTCCGTCTGTTTCCGACTATCCGAAGTTAAGGCCTTCCAACAAGTTCACCGAATTAACGTGTCTGCCAAGGGTTATGGTGGACAGGGAATCGCATCAAGGTTCGGGAAAGGAGATTGGACTTGTTATCTCAGGCTTATCGTGACGCATTTTTCTGTCAGCGACAGCCTGCTCGAAATATAACGAACAAATCTTTGATGTCTTCATCTTGTTTGTCAACAACGACCACGCACCACGAGTTTCGAGGCTTCCTCGTTCCATCCACGAGAGCTCATCGTAGCGTTGATTCCACACCTACGAGTGTCAGTGTTCCCAGGTCCCCCCTCTTGACTACAAAAGGTGCCAATGGAAGCAAACATCCGCAACTCAACTCTCCAACGAACGTGTCCCAGATTAAGACCACCAAAGGTCTTCAAAGGAGCCACTAACACCTGGAATGTGCCGCTAGAACACGTCCCAACCATCGTGTCCCCGTGACGTGGTCCGCCCAACACCGTGGCGAAACGTTCGCTACCAAAACGAAGAAGAAACCGTGTAGCCTCCTCTCACCGGACAAGATCGGCTGGGTCTGGTGGTGCTTCCACCGCATCTGCTGGTCCCTCGCAGGCAAGCCTTCACCGCACCCAAGGAACCCCCGGTGCCCTCCCCCCACTCCATGCTGACCCTCGAGCTCTCCCTGCCTCCCCACGTCAGGCAAGGGGTAGGCGACAGGGCTCGAACGTGCCCGGGCGAGTAGCCCACGGTTCGCGGGCGAACGGAGTCCAGTCGCGTGTCGTAGAAATCCGGGGGGTCGATTTCAGGGGAAACTCGCCTTGTTGTATATGGCGTGTGAGTCGGTGAAGAATCCAGAACGGGTCGGGGGGGGGGTTGGGAGTGGGGCAGGAGTTGTGCGAGGGTTTACACTGTTCTCCTTGAAGAGGGGCGGAATAGTAGGTAGGGTGCACTGCTTTCCTTAGAGACAAAACTTGTAGAGATCGAAAGGAGTCGGTTATGCTGAGTTCATGATAGGTTTGTCACGCAGGATGAACGGGGACAATTAGCCTAACAGCCGTGGAAGGTGGCATGGGTCGGCGACGAACACCTTGTGATGCACGCTGGGGGCAGGTACAGGGATAACTTGGAAGGGGTCATCTATGACTTCGTTACTGTTCCAATTGTGTGTCGAAAGCATTCCATCGCATCCCTGACCAAACCTGCGCGCAGGCCATACGTAGGCTTGGCAACCTGTACTACGCAATTGCGAACTCTTTCCCGAACACCGTACGACCATCGATCCTCCGCCGCTCAACGCTCTCTTCACTTGCATTTCGACAACGGCACCACCCCAAAAGCTGTTCATGACGAGATTTGGTAGGTTTGCTTCTTCGTTGTCGAGCACTTACTACGACGTACGTCACACAAATTGAAATCATCGCCCGATAGTCCTTGTAAGACCGCGACCATAGTTCTCACGAGTAGGAGAAGCCTGACTTGGGCGGGCAGGACTCATCCCTGATAGGGTGGATCTTGTCGAGGAAGCGCTTCACGGCGTGCATCTCTTCTGCGTAGTCCAGCAGCCCGCCTTCTTCCCGCTTCCTCCGGAAAACAACTGGATTCTTGTCTCACACAACAGCAACAACACAATTAGAACAGACTTTTAGCTTCTTAGCGTTCAAACAGGCTGGACATCTTGCAAACGTCGCGCGGGTCCAGCCGTGGAAACTCGTCACACCAGGAACCCGAGGCACTGCTGCTGTAGGATAACGCCGCGTGGGCCCTCGTGCTACATACGCACACAGTCAACGATTTGGCGGCCGACAAAACCGCAACTGACTACCCAACGCATTCCCTAGCTGGAAAAAAATTGTTGGATGCCCATTGCCCTTCGAATTCCTTCGTCTTATACCGAAATGACCATGTTTGGTGAAGGCCAAAACATCTAGAGCTCCACACAAACGCAGCAGAGCCCCATCATCCCGCGCCTACTCCAGCTACACCCTTCATTCGTGCACCTTATCAGAGAATGTTCGCGCCAAAAACCACACTTACCGTGGAAATCGCCGCCTTGTGGGACATAACCCGTTGCGCTCGTTCAACCTCCTCCTCAACCACCCACGGGCTCACATCCAGCCCTCCCAGCACTCCAGGCTTCTTAAACGTCCCTGGTTCAATGTCCGGCACCCCTCGAGGCCCCCTCACCGAGCGCCTCGGTTTGGTTCTGACTTTGGAAGGCTCCATCATCGTGGGCGTGTGTCCACGAAGGCAGGCGGGTTTGCCTGGGGGGTAGTCGACCGTTTGAGGTGGCAGGTTGTTCCTCTGGCCTCGAGCGAGACTTTTGGCCGAAACAAGCTTCTTCGCACGACGATCGATGATAGGGACCTGTTTTGTCGAAATTTGGGTGGTGAAGGGACAAGGTGAGGCTATTCTTCGGGTAAGGCGTCGAGGCGAAGCGGAGAAAGCAAGTGCTGAACACTCACGGCATACGGCTGGCACCGCAGAAACCAATTTGTCGTGGTATGTTTGCGTGGTCCGCTTGTTTGAATCTTCGGTACGAATCATGCAGTCAATCGATACTTCAGCGAATGCATGTTTCTTTGAACGGGTGTGAAAGGTTTCCGTAGGTTCTTGCCAACACAACAGGACTGCACCTTGCAAGGTCAATGATCGCTGTTAAGTGAACGTGCGCCAAGCAACGCGCAACCCACGCAGGTACAAACATGGGGCGGATGTTTGCGGCGCAACTACTTGCGCAGGTATACATCTGCTGTGGATGGTTCAGCAGTATGGTATTCGGAGCAGGGGCCGCATGCCTGATGATGCGAAATAGATTACGCAAGCTTGCGAATCAAATGACGGTGTGCTTACCCCGCTTGTCAAGAGAAATGTCGGCATCCCTGAGCTGATGGCGCTGGCCAGAATGGTCTGGTTTAACGCGGTAGGTTCTGCATCGCCGCCGGCGTGGTCGGATTGGCTCGTGCTTGTATCCGAAGGGCTCTTGGCGCTGCTGACACCGCTATGTAGCCTAGACGATACCATTGTTGGGAAGGGCACCGTCACGGTTGGTACCGTCGCTAGGACCTTTGACCGTGCATGCAGAACGAAGGAAAAGTCTGCTGCTGCAACAGCGTCTGGTTGCTACTTTCGTTCCGTGTAGATTTCGCGAGTGTACATGTTCGTGCGTCGAGCGTTTCGTGTTTGTCGAAACGCCGCCTGGAACTCCCCCCCCAAAAATGCGGGACAACCGGACTGCCTCACTATTTCCTAGTCAAAAGACGTTGACAACTTTACCACCCCATGTTGTAGCAGGTACATCAATGTATCTCTCGGGAGTGAGGATGTTTGCTTTTTTGCACAGTTATTGAAGAATGGATTATGCCAAACCCCACTCGCGTTCAAATTCGAAGGCAAGCAGCAAAGGGTCCGTACGGCGAAGGTGGGACAAAAAAAAAATGTTTTGCGTACTGCTGTCACCTCGGCTGATACGTCAAACCAAACACATATTGCGACCGAAAGGAAAATGCTGGCGCCAGAATCGATGCAACGAAAACGCACACACCGCGGGGTTAAGGTTGTGTGTCAAAGCAACGGCGTTGCTGTTCGCAACACGGTGAAATGTTCCAAAAATAAATGATCGTGGTGCCGGCAATTTTCCCGGCGAGAAAACTAACGAGAAAGTTACCGCCCGCCCTCCGGTGGGGATCCGGGTAAAACAGCGTTTATTTTTTTTTACATTACAATTGTACCGCCTTTGCCAAAAGTGTTACAGCCGACAACCGCAAAAATCCATCTATATGTCGCTCATGCTCCACGTTGACATATCAGAACCAACAGGAAAATCGCTCAAGGGAACACACACGGACACACGCTTCAGCTCGATTTCCGGAGCCGTTGTTTATTCACCGATCGAATTCTATTCGCACCTCTGAGTTGCTAGGTGGGCAGGAGAAGTAATCGCCTTTCACATGGCCCCCTTTCGTGGCACCCGCGAACTGTTAGATGTACAGCATGACCACTAGTATGCTATCAAGCCAGTGTACATATTGACACAAACACCGTGGCCAATGCCATCAATTTCTAACTTTGCACCACCCTCAAACTGCTCTTTAACTTTCCTGTGTCCTGTCGCAGCCAATTGCTCGTTGTGCAGTGGGCGTCTCAAATGAACACAGAAACGCGCGCGTATTGCCATAATGGCTTGCCACGAACGGTGCCTGCACCGAGCGAGAGGAAAGTACTCGACAACGTGTACTATTCATTGCTCCTGTCCGACCCCTTGCCCCCGTAGTACCCGCGTGGCCAAACATCAACGCGGCTCCCGACAACTGGGAGTTGAGCTCTCTTCCGCTAACTTAACCCTGTCGCTCTATTGCGACGAGAGTAAATCATCCTCTATAGGAAGGAAGGTCGTCGCCCTACGCTTCAGGACCCTGGGCGTGTACCCTTATCGCGTCCTCGATCTCCACCTGAAAAATCTTTACAAAATCAGCAACGCCCAGATCTTCTTCGCCCAGTAGCGCGGGCGCGTCGACCCATTTCCATATCTCAGCCTCTGATGTGCGGCGCGGTGTCAAGTTGTAAACGGAAGCATGAGAGGGGTCAAAGAGTAGAGCAGGGCAGGTCAGGGCAGGTCAAACGGATTGACAAGTCGTAGGCCGATTGTTGGTTCAATAAATAATTTCTGTGTCATTCGAATGACGAGAGCCCTTGTCCTTAGCCAAGTTGAACACATGAGTCCGTTGCGCGGTCCGTTTGGAACGGCCAGCGAGCCCCTGGTGGGTGACAAGGATAAAGCACGCGGTTGCCTACCCACAAAAGTACAGGTGTGAATCGACCATCCTCAGGAACATTCCGACAGCCGTTGGCAAGTCGGGATTAACCGCTGGTAGATATGCGATATCTACCGCCTGTTGGCATGGGCATGCCGAGCCTCGCTGAGTCCCCCCCTCGACGCAACATCGTCTTGACCCCTATCTTGGCCTAAGCCTCACCGGAGCTGCCCGCCGTCGGTAGCGGGCTAAAGCTACCGCGACATTGGGACCCTTCAACCGCTGCGTCTACGAAAGGAGTCTACGTCACCATGGAGGCGTAACGGTTGGGTTGAAACCGCTCGGTTGATACTCTTGATGTTCAGCATGATTCTCGATGATTCCACGGCACACAAGAATTTACGTCGAACGGCGACGATAAACCGTTGACACATCAAGAACAGAGAATTCTACAACGTGTTTCATAGCATCCATGGCACTACATGCACCCTCGAAAACGTCACATCCAAAAACCAATAACCGTCCATGTGCAGGTCTGTCACACGAACCTGCGATATAGACCACACTTTGTCAAGGTGCGCTGTCGCACTAAAAGTAGGAGTGAATACAACCTACTTTAAGGCCCGTCTTCGATCTCACCGGGCCAAGTCATCCACCACCGTACGCTCCGACAGGTGTCGTCATTGGAACGATTCTCCGAGCTCGAGCCAGCCCCAACTTCCTGAGGCGCCGTGTCAAAAAATGGAACATACGACCATGGCGGAGCGAGAGCGGGAAAGACGGTTACAAGATGAGAGAGTACGGTGACGGGGTGGCAGATTCCGTTCCGATGGTGAACCAGGCGCATCTCACGAACAACTCCCGTACGTGCCAGGCGGGGGGGGGG